ACTTAGGGAATAAGTAGAATACTGTATCTACCCTCTTCAAGTCCAGTAAGATAACCATGGTTCGATTTGGAATGATATTTGATAGTATTCCTTATATCTGATCGGTTCTTGAAGGTCAACTTGAAAGACCGTGTCTTTGACTACGATACATTAACTTTGCCGGGTCTCGAAGTTTGGTTATTTTCTTGCGAAACGTCTAAGAAATGTACTATGGCTTGTTATCAATACTAAACCGTCGTTTTACGCCTAAATCTCTGCAAAGTCTAACTTTAGAAGCCACGCCAGTCGATCTTAAGGCCGACTTTGGAGAAATACTGCTAGAATAAGCAACGATGAATGTAGCGAAATGCTAGTAAAATAAAATGTTCGTTTTGTATAGGGGTGAGGTTAAAGTATAGGTCCCACCTCAATAGGTCTTAGGAGAGACCCTAAGCAACTGGTCAAAATTTAGGAGCTGTAGAACTCGCGAATTTGTCCAGAAGATAATTACGTATCTTTACGTCCTGAGATCAGTTTATATTTGCAATTCTGTTCTTTATTCTTTTCAAAATTTGAGTTCTCTGATAAGACTAGTTATGCTGTTGAGTTTCACTCGCATAGGCATGTTCTCTTAGTTACTCCAATTAATCAGTTACACAGTAATCAAATATTTGATCTTCCTGGAATTGTCTGAGTGAATTCAGAACAGAACTAATCTGATTTGGTTGTAGCATCTGGAACTTTAATCAATTATTCACTGTCATGTGCAGGGGTGGCTGCCACGGTTTCATTTCATCTGCATAAAAACGTTTTAAAGTATTTTCAAGTGTCGACTCGTATATCCATGAAGTTTGTACTCTGTCGTGATTAATTGCACCTAGAATTCAGTTACAGTCGCATATAATCCGTAATTACAGATTAGGCAACGTTCCAAGGTTGAGCGTGGGACTGTAATTACGATAATGGTGAATTGGTTCTAGTGAAATCTGAACCAGAGCCTTTTTCGATGGCGAGCAAATGGTCAAAAGATGCTAGTGGCACAGTTTTCTGCGCTACTTTTTGGCATTAATTCAGCTCCTCTTGCTATTTTTCAGCTTCATTTCAACACATCAGACATCATTTAAGCACTTTCCGCATCATTTCAGCATAGATGGGTTATTTTAATTAAACAATGCGTTTGTTTTGCATTAGACCGCATTGTCGATGTAGCGTCCTTGTAACTGGGGAAATCTACTGTGAGCACAGAACTCCTGAAGTGTTCTAAATGGTGTTTATCCCTGTGGAGTTTGTGTGATAATTAACCACCATCACAAGCAGAAACTTCAGTACATGTGAGTCTCCTTGCAACGAAGGAGAGTGTTGGGCAAAGAGGGAAAATCAATCGACGAGGCTATAAAGTTACATAGATTGAGATGATTACGTCACGTGCTGCGCATGCCTAGCCATCGCCTCCCCCGACGGGCATTACTAGCTGATATAGGCGCAAGTTGGAAAAGAGTAAGTGGTGGCCAAACAAAAACATGGCATCAATCCATGAAATCCCTGACAGTTAAACTGAGTCAGGTAGGGAGATGCAGACTTCCGAGTTGGGGCCCTCGGGACTCTAAGAATCAATGGCTGGGGACAATAGGTGACATGGCTCAAAATCGTTGTCAATGGCTTACGCAGATGTATTCAGTCTCTTTAACCTTCATATTCCTTTCTACCATTACTCATTCTGTTTCACTCTTATACTTGTCAAAACTCTATTGATTCTCTTCACTCATTTTCTTGTCTATCTTTGTGTGCTATTTGTAACGTGGCAACTCGAACTGCTGCACCTCGGTGCCAAGTTCTATGTTGAATCCAGCAGCAGCAGAAGGAAAAAATGTGGGGACATAAAACGTCCGCACTATGTATGAGACTGGCAAAGCTGCCCAGATTGCAAATGAGATGAAGATATATGATATTGAATTAGTGGGAATATGCAAAAGCAGAAGGAATGGGACTCACAAAAACTCCAGTCAACCAGAAGACAACCACGAGCACACCGAGGGTGTGACTATCACGATGTCACCAACGACAATGAAGGCCCTGATACAATTGCAGGCGATCTCGCCCAGGTCAATGACCGCCAGGTCCAACTCACAAGAAAGGAAAGTGACAATTATACAATGCTATACACCCAAAAACAACGCAGACTTAGAAAAGAAGGAAGAGTTCTACAGGCAACAATGGACAATACTCCAGTCGGTGACATTAAAATCCTAAGGGGTGACATGAATGCCAAACTGGAACTAGACAACACAGGAAGAAAATTCATTACGGGTAGAGAAGCACTTGAAGAGATGAATGAAAACGAAGACCTCTCCGTTGACTTCTGCAGCTTCAGTGACCTAGTGATTGGTGGCAGCGTATACACGCACAAGGATATCCACAAGGCTAGATGGGTTGACAGTGAGGGATGACAATGGAAAGTCAATCACCGAGAAGGTGGAACAAAGGAAACACTGGGCTGAATATTTCAAAAGACCTCTAAGTCGGCCGCCACCTACAACGCGCCCAATAATACCAACAGCGGAAGCCGAACTACCAGTGGATGCCAACCCTCTGACGAAAGCAGAGATCCTGAAGGCCATAAAAGTGCTGAAAACTGGAAAAGCAGCAGGACCAGACGGAATCCCCGCAGAAGCATTGAAAATGGACACAGAGACATCAGCCAACTTGATGACACCACTACTGGAGAAGGTGTGGAAAAAGGGCAAGGTACCTGTGGATTGGAAGAAAGGCTACCTATTCAAACTACCAAGTAAAGGAGACTTAAGTCAATTCAAGAACTGGCACGGCATTATGCTCCTGTCTATTCCAAGCAAAATACTAAGCTGCATCATCCTGGAGAGAATCAAACTCACCCTGGATGGAAAACTTCGACCGGAACAGGCTGGATTCAGGAGAAACAAGTTATGCATCGATCAAATCGCAACACTACTTACCATTATTGAACAGAGCTTGGAATGGCAATCAGCTCTCTATCTCAACTTCATCGACTTTGAAAATGCCTTCGACAGCGTCGGTCGAGAGGTGATTTGGAAACTACTTTGCTGCTACGGGGTGCCACCGACAATTATACATCTCTTCCAACAGTTGTATGACAACGCTGCATGCCAAGTAATCCACAAGAGGAAACTTACGGAATCCTTCGAAGTGAGGACAGAAGTAAGACAAGGCTGCCTACTATCGCCAATGATTTTCCTGATTGCAGTAGATTGGATAATGCGACAAACAGCGGGCAATGAGGAAACAGGCATAAAATGGACTCACACAAAGAACTTGGAGGATCTGGACTTCGCCGATGATATATGTCTGATTTCCCACAAACTGGAAGATATGGAAGCGAAAAGCAACAAGTTGGCAGAAGAAGCATCCAGAGAAGGTAGGACTTCAGGTGAACATAGAGAAAACAGAGGTAATCAAGATTCCTGGACGAGAACAGCAACAACAACAGACAACAATCAGCATAAATGGGAGGAACCTGAAAGAAATAACCTCCTTTACCTACTGATCCGGAAAGCATCGTTTCAGCTAGAGGCGGAACTGACGAGGATATCAAAGCAAGAATCGGAAAAGCAAGACAAGCTTTCACTACTCTCAAGTCTGTGTGGAGGTCAACAGCACTCAGCATGAAAATGGAAATAACATCCGGATTTTCAACTCCAATGTGAAGTCAGTGCTACTATACGGATCAGAGATTTGGCGCGTTACGAGAGACACTTCGAACAAACTCCAAACCTTCATCAACAGCTGTCTTCGCTCAAGACCAGATGGCCAGAAAAGATCAGCAACAGGGATCTCTGGGAGTGAACCAAACAGGAGCCAATTGTGCAAAAAATGTGCAGGAATTGGTTACAGGATTTTATCATAAGCTGAAATCGGTTAGAGAACCATTGGAAAAGAAATAGAAGGTGGATTGGCCATACTCTTAGAAAACCACCAAGTGGTATCACGCGCCAGGCTCTTGAGTGGAAGCCGAATGGGAAGCAGCAAGTTGGTCTTCCGAGGGTGACATGGAGGAGGTCATGCAAAGAGGAGATGGAGACATGTGGGCAGACTTGGAGCCAGGTGAAAACGTTGGCAGAGAACCGAACGCAGTGAAGACGTGCGGCTGAAGCCCAGTGTTCCTCTAGGAACTAAAGGAAGCAATAATAATAAGTAGGCTGGCATCGTTTTTAAAAATACTTAGTGCAATCCATGGCGTTCATATCTCAATATGTTTGTCCAAATATATTGACAGTTAACAATGGTCATGCTAATCAACTTTCTTCATTCATCAGTAGTTAGAAAAATGGCATTGTAATTCAGAATCTGACAGTAACTTACATCAAAGCCCATGTCGGCTTTCTGCACAACCGCATCATAAGTTACAGTCTTACTTCAATTAGACATTATCCGTCACTTCTCTCAGACAAAATTACTGAACTTGTCTTGAAACTGCCGGTGAAACCCTATTCATAGATCTGCTTAAATGTCTTAGGTTGTGAAACACTCAATCTGGACAGCTGGATAGAGATATAAAAGGAAACTTTCTTGAAAACCATAAAATATTTTTAATAATCATCATGGTTTAGTCTTACCATTTATGTCGGGAAAAAAAGTGTTAGATTGCGTTATTTGCCTAGAATTGGATTCGAAAGTGGATTGGGTTTCTTTCGAATTTCTAGTTCACTAATTGTACACTTCGCTTATCAGATGTTTGCTGCCCGAAATCATGAAAATTTATATGGCGTGGAGAAATGGTATCACAATTTTAATACAGATGCACAGCTGCAGTTGATTTTAATCATTATATTTAGAATCACTAACTAGCGTCCCACGTCATGCCACAAAATGAAAGTGGGAATGGTAGGGCCATTCCTTTTTTAAAGAGAAACTAACTTTGCTGTTGCTTCACATATGAAAATAACCTGCCTCTGGCGAGGTCAAGAGTAAATGCGTTCTTTTAAAGTTTGCTCACTCTTTATTACTTCATTTCTTTTATCTTTAAAATGGATAACCACAGTTTCAGACAAGTTATGAATCGTTTGGCTATCCTACGTAACTCCAACTTTTCTTTATATGGACGAACTGGACAGCCGGTTAGATATCGTTATGTTCCTGATCCAGGCACACTTGAACAACGTCTGTTTAGAGCAGTCACGAGGCCTGTATTACCTCCTGTGAATGTGAATCCGGTGGAGAAGCGTCTACGTATAATGGAGGAAAAGCGTTTGCGTGTGAGTAATAACATTACTTTTTGCTTTACTCTTGTAACTTGCGAATTTTAAGGCATATACATGTCACTAATATATGTTAATATTAATACAGTGTGCTACAAGGAGACTGTGCGGTTTGTTTCTGACAAGCCTAAATAAAACAGCAATCTTACCAATATATTTTTAGATTTTCGAATTTAGTGCATGCCTTACTTTCGTTCATTTTGTCGTATTCCAAGTTGAAATGACTACTGGAGTGATTAAGGTTTTCAACATGTAGTACTAAGTGCACACGCCTATTTCACAACGTCCACAACTTTAGCTTTGTTGCATACTCATTTTATTACTACAGGCAATTTCAAACTGTTTTGGTTTGTACATCTGTTACTTTGTGTTGCTTAAATTAATAAAACCGAGTAGACTTTTATGTGCAAAGGATAAAAGATCGATATCTGACTGAAAATAAGATTTTTGATTGACATTCCACTGTCTTAAAATGAAAGAATTCGGAATTTCGCTTGTATATATATATATACCAGCGTGAACAATCACTTTTTGTAACATTTATCACTGCTGCTGCGAGACTCAAACTGAACAAGGTTTAGTACATCAACTTCCTTTTTTTATGAAATGCTTCTGAATTGATTAGGTTTTGGAAAATAGCATGGTCTAAGACTTAAAATAATGTTGGTTGGATATTGTATTCGCTTGCTGATTGTCCTGTTAAATATTTCTCTTAACTTTCATCACTGGTCGCGAATTCCAGAGGCTAATTTGTTGTGTTTGTCTTCACCATGTATAACTTTGACATATGATTTATTGCAACAGCATTTTTCACCGGTCACAAGTAATTCATTTTAAACAGTTTACTCCCTCTGAATATGATTCAGTCTCTAAACAGTGTGATTTGCGACTCTGCTCCATGATTAGTGTTCTCAAGGAAATATTGGTATTCAGATTGCAGGGTCATCCAGTCTTTATCAACTTGCTAAGTTTGGAAATTATTCTACTTTCACCAGTGCTACCGGTATTATTATTAATTATAAGCTTTGCTGCCCACAAAATATATGGATGTCTCTTAAGACCATAAACTACTGTTTAGCAATACGTTGTGTTCTTTTATGCCGTTTTAATACATCAATTTTCGAAGTGTTGGTGGTCATTTAGAGATATAACTGTAGTGAATTGTTTTTTTTCAAGCGACTGTAGTTTCTTACCAAAATAATTATATAGGAGCTAGCAAAGTTTGATCCTAAAGGCCATCCATTCCACTCCACTTTGTAGGTTTATGGCGCCAGCAATAAGATGATATGTGTATAGACTAAACTGAACAGGATAGTGTCCAGTGGGATCATGGGTGCGTCACAAATTACAATGAAACAGCTGTTCGGTACTGCTTGGTTTTAAATAGTTCTCTAAGTGATTTCACTTCGTGATCAAACTTAAAAGATTAATACACTTAAATCTCTTATGTTACTGGTCTCAAGTAAAATCCTTCCGCACTCTATTATCATTCAAGGCTAATGCACTTTTTCCTAAGTAGTAGGCACTGAGTATCCTAGAATGAATGGTCAACTACTCACACGCCCTGACAGACACGTAGCATCCATCTAGTCATATTAAATTTCCACCATCGTTCTTCCCTTTCTTTCATCACTACGTTCACTTTGTAATACCATAATTCTCCATGACATCTTAAGCTGCCTAATCTATGACCATAACTAACTATTCAAGGCCGTAGGAAATCATTGCCTGCTTGCTAACTGATGTTAAAATTCTGATCGCTACAACTTCACATCACTGATTCATCAGTTGCAATGCTAAAATTTCGAATAGTAAAGATGATTGCCATTAGAAGACACATATAACACTAAGATTTGATTGTTCATTTGAAAAATCAGAACTGACGCGTGCTGAATAGGTTTCACACTTTACATCAATGCCTCAGCTTCTTGTGCAAGCTGTATTAGTAGAGGTATGGAAAAAAACTAGAAAGGTCATACTTTACCCAACTGTTCAGTCATTTGAAATTTTTCTATTTTCAAATAGAGGACGTGCTAAAATATTTAATAAGGGTAGTATCAAGTAGCAATGATAGGGTAGTACTCAGATTTGTTTAGCACTCTTTTTAATCTTCGCTCTCACCATCTACTGGTATTCTCTTTCTCTTTCACTATATGAAGAGAGAATAGAATATGAATAGGCAGACTGTTGATTTCTTTTTCAGTTTTTACAGATATGCTTGTCTGCTCATATAAAAATAGATGTAATATAATTCTGTTTTCTTGTTAATACGCTTTTCTATTATCTTAAAGTATTTTCCCCTCCTACAAATGTATTATCCTTATGGTTATTGTTGTGTAATCTTAATTTTAGCTAGAAAATAACCCCTACCGTAAATTTCTAGTTGACAGAGCGAAAGAGGAATTTTTAAAAAGTCTGGATGATAATATGGTTTTAGTTTTTCAACAATTATATCATAAAGCTCGTGAAATGGTTCCTGTACAGAATAAGTTATTTTTGAAGGGAATGAGGTATAAAGGATTCCCACTGTCTATTATAAGGTTAGTGATTGTCATAATTTTCTGAAGTGCATTCACGCGGTTAGAAAATACGTTATTTATGCTTATTATATTTATGTTTTCACAAATATCAAAACTAACTCCGGATATAACCTCAGCCCTACTAAATCGTTGTAGCTGCGATGACTGCCTTTACATGAGTTACTTTTTGTCACTTCGAATTAGTTACCAAATTTCCCTCTTGGCTATTTATAGTTAGCCGATTGGTATATATAATAGGGATACATATCTCAGTATTTGGTGATGCAGTCTTCAATTATCAGGCGTGGAAGTGAGCATAATCGTCTTGTTTAAAACCTGTTCATAAGTTATTTCCTATGGGTTTTCTGCGGATAAGGTTATATTCAAACTTTATCTCCAAAACGCTTTCAAACAAATACCTGTACTCTGTATGGTTATATCCTAACAGTTTGTTCTCTTTCAAAAATAGCTCTGAGTGTGTTAAATGATACTAAGAAAATGCAGATCGATTATGTGTAGACGACTGATTTTCATCTGAATACATTATCTCGTTTCTTCGTTTTTGTGCATCACAGAAAAATCTACTATATTTCCTGATCAGTTTCTTATCCCAGTGAATTCAATTGATTTCTTAATTGCCGTGACAATAGGCTCTGTAACTTATGCACTATATCCACACCATCTACTAAACTTGTTAGTTGCATATAGACTTTAATGACTTAAGCAAGACAAATCTGATAAGCATTTTGTTGTCACACAGGATAGTACTTGTATTATCCATCCAAATTACTGGTTTCTTTGCATTTCTGTAGGGAAGCTGCAAAAGGAACCCGGTATGAATTATTCACGCGTTATTTTCTCCATTCTGATGTTCCCAACACATATTTATTTGCTCAGCCAACACCTGAAAATTGCCGAGATGCCATAAATATAACTAAAAAGGTCCACTTTCTCCTATTACTTGGTGAGTTATAGCGTCTTTCGTATATTGCACATGTATCAAGGGTTTTTGAATCATTAGCCATGTTTAATTTAATGACCTTCGGGTTCATTAGGGTATTTGGCTTACAACCAAATGAGTTACTAGTTCAAATTTAGTTTTAGCTACCGAAGTTTGGACAATCGACTAGAGAAAGTTATCAAACAGTAAATTGCGTATTTATGCTGAATACATGATACACACGTGATTACCGAAGTCTATCTAGTTAATCATATAGTCTAAGACTATTCCATACGAGTAATACGTTTTGTATGTTATTTGAACATTAACTTGATACATTTAGGACACTTAAAATGAGCCACACACACACATTCGAATAACAATTTAAAGAAAAGAGGAGTAGCACATAATAAAATAAAAAGAAACATGTTTACTAAGGAAATAAAATTCCGGGAAGCGTTTGTTTCTTCATATTAGTTTCAGAGATAGAAAAGAAGATAGAAAATGAATGATTTGTTTCCTTTTTGTCGTATCCGATTGCATTTCCAGTAACTGGTTCTCTTGATCCTCCCAACCTTTCTCAGAAATTTCTACGGAGAGAACATTGCTCAGCAACATGGAGTTGCACACATCATAAGCTTAGAAAAGCCAGGTTCCACGTTTAGTTGGAGTGTGGAGACAACGTACATGCATTTAATGGTCCTTCCTTTATCTCTTGTGTGTAACTGTAGTTAGATGCAAATTCTTGGGTCGATAAAACTCATGATGCCACTATTAAATGCTAGCCCTACCTGCATCCGCTTGCATTGTTTAAAACATCAATGAGGCGTCCTATTGATTATTAAAAGTTGAGTGTACTGTGTATCTTTCTAGAAGTAAAGATCTCAGGTGTTGGTTTTGTAGTATGACCGATTGGAGACTGTTGCTCAGAGACAGTTGCAGTGATTCTGCGTGCATACTTTCGTATCCTTCTAAGTCTTCGTATCGTGTTTATTTATCTTCTGACTTGTTTAATGCTGTTTTATGAACCTTAACACCATTATGTTCAATTCTCCATCTTCTCTTTCTCTGTTTTTATAGTTGTGTGATATGCAGTTATGTCAGGTACTATATTTAGAATTTATGTCCTCCTCTTTTTGGCATCACTTGCATAGTGTTCTAGCAGTATGCAGTAATAATAGTGGAGAGTAGTAAATATGCACATTTCATACATGAATTCTCCTCTATAAATTTGAAAATAGGAAGTCAGTCTTACTGAAGGTCATTCTTATTTCGAGAACTTGAGAAATAATGTCGCTGAAAAAGATCCTAGACTGCGTTCGTTTGTGGCTTGGTAAAAGGAATAATCTAATATGAAAACTTTGCAGGTCAGTTGAACTACCGGATCCTAGAAACAATTAAATCTAGAGTGGTAGACCTCAGTAAGATAAGAAATCCAGTAGAAAAACCAGCTGTAATACTTCATACAGCTGTTTAATAGGATAGTTATAGAAACTAACTTAGCAGGAGGTCAGTTGATGAAATTTTATTTGCCTATTCCAGGCATTTCCCAGGTATCCATAAAATTCTAATTTCCCAACAGCAAGTGATTAAGAGAACTATTAGCACGAGATATCTAAATTCTGGAGTTACCCTTATTATGACAATAAAAACTGCATGTATGCGTGTATAGTTGTTATTCACCCTTACATTTTTCCTTCATAATTTTGAGATTATTTTCTCGGATACATCATTACTCTGTTTATTTTAATTAGTGGTTGTAAGCTAAGCAAATGTTGAGGAAGAATCATATATGCACTTGCCCTTGCGTCTTAATCTAATGTTCATCCTTCTTTTTTTTACGATTTAGGTGGTATGGTTAACAACAGAATTATGACTGTAAAACAATTGAATGATTATGCAGCTTTGTCAACCAAGGGATTAAATGGTGTACGCAGTGAACTAGTCATGTTATTGGAAAATAATCGAGGTGGACAGGTTGTAGAAAACTTAAACTATCATCAGTCATTCATCGTTGGCGGTCTGAAGAATTTGTCTGATAGTATGGAAAGTAATAAAGCGTCAACCTCTGAGGCATAAAATGCAACTTTTCCCTCTTATTATGAATGACTTTTTGTAAATATCTTGAATGTGTGTTTTTAGTATTGTAAATAAACATTTTTTTTCTGCACTGAGTTCTTCGTTTTTCGCCTACATTTTTAACCTTATCCTCTCGCTGTCTCACATACACATTATTACTTCACAGAGCTAGTTTATCAAATTTATATTTTACAGAAGTCGTAGGTATTCCCTAGATAGCAGAAAATGAGTCTGTATGAGAAGGGCATACGTCAATGATATGATGTACATTTTGCTGGACTTGCTGTTAATGTCCAGTTGATAAGTTCATGGTACCTAGTGTATTATTTTCATCCAAGTAGGATAATCTGTTTGAAGAAGGTTAAGAGTAGCCAGGCCAGGTTGTGGGATATCATGTAAAAAGTAACTGTTTAATAAGATAGATGTATTCACGTCTTCCTTTAAGCTTAGAAAAGTTTAATCAATAAATATTTCTTGTTTCTTTTTGTGTTTTGTTGGCTTACTGTGTTCCGCGTCACATATTTGATCCTTTTCTGTTTGGATTCTTTTTTAATTTGAGGTGTGATAACTTCAAGCGACACATAATTAAGGAATATATGTTTTATCTCAGTGCATTCAGTTGTTTGTTACATTTCTCACTGAATGTCACCAGTGTCTTTACGTCATATCATTTGACACTAGTAAATAGAAAAAGATATTGGTGTTTCGCCTGTCAATAGCATTAGAAGACTGACTCTTCTTGTAAATGCGAATGCAATCCATTCAGATAATTGTTGTTCGTTTATAGTTTTTGACGAAACCTTTTCTCTTTATTCATAGTTTCTAAGTAATGTTGCGGAAAATCCAGTTTCTAATAGAGTTGCTTTTATAAGCAAGCCTATTCGATCTATAATATTTCTTTATTATGCAGACTTTGGATACAGAATTCCGACCAGAACAAGCTGGATTCAGGAAATGCTAATCATGTTCTGACCAAATTGTAACTCTACGCATCATCATTGAACAAAACATAGAATGACAATCAAACATCTACATCAACTTTATAGACTTTGAGAAGGCCTTCGACAGCGTTGATCACGAAGTAATTTGGAAACTACCGAGTACTACGGTGTACCCCAAATATTCATCAACCTTATTCAACAGCTGTACGACAACGGCACATGTCAAGTCATCCACAACGGAAAACTCAGCGAGGCGTTTGGAGTAAACACAGGAGTCAGACAAGGGTGCTTATTATCACCAATGATATTCTTAATTGTGGCGGACTGGATTATGCGTCAAATAGTGGGAAACAAGAAGACAGGGATATCCTGGAACGACGTGAAGAACCTAGAAGACCAGGATTTCGCGAGTGGATGATTTATGTTTGATGTCACACAAAATCAAAGACTTACAAGCGAAAACCGACAAACTGGTCGAAGAAGCAGCAAGGACAGGACTCCAGGTGAAAATAGACAAGACGGAGGTTATGAAAATAACCAACCAGCAACAACAACAGCAGCAGCAACATCAAGCGCCAATCACCATCAACGGGAGGGATTTGAAAGAGGTTACTTCTTTCACTTATCTAGGGGGCATTGTCTTAACTACAGTAGGAACGGACGAGGATGCCAAATCGAGAATCGGGAAGGCGAGAAACACATTCATCAACCTGAAACCAATCTGGAAATCTTCGTCACTCAGCCTGCATCAACAACAAAATTCGGATTTTCGATACAAACGTCAAGTCAGTTTTGCTATACGGATCAGGAACTTGGCGGGTCACAACGAATATTTCCGACAGGTTGCAGACCTTTATCAACAACTGTCTTCGCTCCATACTGAAGATCAGATGGTCGGACAGAATCGCCAACAAGAAACTATGGGAACAAACAAAACAAGAACCAATCGCTCAACAAATATGCAGGAGAAAGTGGAGATGGATTAGACACTTGCTGTGGAGGCCGCTGGGTGAGTCGTCAGGCGCGTCAGGTCAACGCTCGAGTGAAACCCGAAAGAGAAGCGGCGAGTGGGACGTCCAAGGGTGACATGGAGGAGATCGTGTGAAGAAGAGTTGAAACAGTATGGATTAACATGGATGCAAGTGAAAAGTAGAGCAGAAGACAGAAGCAAGTGGAGGCGTGCAGTTGAAGCCCTATGTTCCACTAGGAAGCCAAGGGAACAATAATGATTATTATTATGCAGACTTCAATATGTAGTCGATTAGAAATGTTTATTGAGTACCGTTTCTGACATTGCTTCTATTTTATTACAGAAGACAGTAGTTTAAAGATAATAACTGTGATTATGCACATTGTTCAAACAGCTTACTCTATAAACTTGTCTAATATAGTTATGTAGATTTATTAATATAATCACACTGTATGTAGTTAAAAATGTTAATTGAATAATGCCAATCATGTTTGAATTCGCATCGTCAAGGAGCATCAATGATAGTCAAAGCAGATTTTAACCAAGAAGCCTACAACGTTTTTCGACAACCAGGAACTTCATTGTATATACTGCTTGTGTATGCAGGGAGGAAGACACCATTTGTGTTGACCTGTAGTGTTTACTAGCTACACAGTAGTATTTTAAACATCAGCCTACTATTTCACTCGTTCTAGGCCTACAACATCAGTGATGTACTGGGATTGATTGATCTAGCTGGCTTCTTGGGCTGACTGTTGTTACATTAGATTGGATGGTATATATTACTAATTGATGTAAGTATTTGGAGATCACTTCTTTTAACTGGTACTTGCTTGCTTTCTTGATTACTATTTACGTCATCAAACAGTTAGTAAGGCATATCTCCAACGTAGGCAGAAACTCCTCAAACACATCACCGTACTGATGAACTTCGTGACAACACTGCACACACTCTAACGAATAAGTCAGATTGGCTTGTGCTGCACCAATTGATCTATAATTCATTCGTTTAGATGTCTGATTATCAAATAGTCGGTCATAAGTTCTTAATGTAGTCCACCAACCGAGATTCAGAGAGTTAGTCAATATTGTTGGTTGTCGCAGCAGTTGTTTATCAGGTGAGTTTATACATGGTCGATGTGATAACAAAAATTACATAGGCTGATAGTATTCCTGTTTAGTAGTCCTCGTAACCTTAAAATACCATTTTCTCCCTCTTATTTTCTAGGGAAGAAGTGATCTGAATTGTAAGAAGAACAATTGATATACGCATTCATTCATGAGTTTATCAAGATGCACATTAAATTCCTTAGTTAATGGTTCTAAACGACTTTATGATTCCTGCCGCTTATTAACTACATCTCAACTATTATTGTTATCCTCATCCAAACAAGGTGTAATTAATAAACCAAGTGCTTACAAAGCCTTACTGAAATCATCATCAGTTCGATTGTGTATAGATGAGTTACCGAGTAGTGCAAAACAGTTTTTCAATGTTCCTGTTAATTCATCAAATAAATCCCCTGAGTATATTGTTGTATTATCCAGTGATGTGCAAAAGTTGATTAAAAAGACTCAATGTTCTGTCAATCTTGTAAGTTGAATGGTTTTATTTTTGTTTATATCCCTTTCCTATTTTTGTATTTTTCGCATTTTAGTGTTTTGTTTTGCATACTTAAAGTGTTATGCATTGACACCCTTATGACAAGCTACATTTTTTTTATTCGTTTACGTTCCTAGTGGAACATAGGGTTTCAAGATAGAGGCTTGAAGTCTCGGTAGCAGTGGTATTTTTAGTTTTACGGGATGGGGTTGCTAGTCTCATGCCTAACCGTGCCTCTTTACCGGTCTTATTTTACTGGCATATTGAGGTAAAGCAGTGCGTCGGTCAGGGATAGAACCCCGAACCACATTCATGGTGGGCGGATAGTCTACCACTGTGCCACTGATGCACAAGCAACATAGTCGTTGTTAATTTACCTCACCCATTCACTTTCATCGATAAGGTCTGAGATATTTTCTAAACTGTTAACGATCTTTAAATCCACAATCATTAGAATTTGAACTGAAAAGCAATAATTTACAATAATGCAACGGAGAGAATAGGTACATGCTTTTTGTTATTAGGCAATCAATCAGATTTGATTTGTGAAAACTGAAATAGGTATTTTTCAGTTTATAACTCTGTATCCAATGTTCAAATGTGAAGAAATTCAGCCAATGAACCTTGACTTTGGAAATAATGCATAACTTTAGAGAACATCATTGTATTAGTTCAAGTTTACGGTCTTCTTAACAGTGTTACTAGTAAACCAAAAACAAATTACTGATAGATTTCTGATTGATTAAGTTGTCCGGCGGGTTAAGTTTGGCCCACAGCCACACTTAACCTGCCGGACATCCAACACCTCCCTGAATGGGATATAGACACAGGTCCTCCGTCCTTAACTGAGGTTACTAAAGCTGTCACTAATCTGAAGCAAGGCAAAGCAGCGGGACCTGATGGATTGACTCCAGAGGTATTTAAGTACGGTGGAGACAGTTTACTGTCTGCGTTAACTGAAGTTCTAAGCAGCCTCTGGGAATCAGAGGAAGTCCCATCGGGTTGGTGTAAGTCACTGATCATCCCGATATACAAGAAGGGAGACAAGTCTTCTTGTGATAATCACAGAGGGATTAGCTTGACTAATATAGTATCTAAAATCCTAGGTTCAATAATACTGCGTAGACTAAGTGGTGCTCGGGATACACAAACACGAGAAAACCAGGCAGGTTTTAGGCCAGGTAGAGGGTGTATTGATCACATCTTCACCCTCCGACAGATTCTAGAACATAGGCATTCCTACCGGCATCCGACAATCATTATATTTCTTGACCTAAAGGCGGCATTCGATTCTGTCGACCGAGTGGTTCTCTGGCGATGCTTGGCTGTAAAGGGAATGCCGAGAAAATACATTGCACTGATTAAGGCACTCTGCTCGTACTCATGCAGCCAGGTGAGAGCTTATGGCGAGTTGTCATCTGAAGTGGTGACGACTAGTGGCGTCCGTCAAGGATGCCCATTATCCCCATTCCTATTCAAATTCATC